GTCATCATATATATATATACATATGGACAGCAGCTCTAGCACTATTTCCATTCTGGTAGTACAAACTCTTCATTTCAATCCGTTCTCGAAGCGAATAAACCATTGCTGCTTCTCAAGAATTCACAAAAATAGAAACATCAATTGTAACTTCAAATGGTAGGCAAAATGTGTCGCCCTGTATACTATTATTGAGGTGTTTTTTTATTTTTCCTGGAAATCATCGTTCCAAAAGTTATTCAGGGTGGCTCGTTTTCAACTCAAATAAGTTGTAGCTCCCAAACCATAAGCTTCAGACCATATGTTTTATACTTTGTTGAAATATGCTCATCATGAAGCATCTGACAATGCAGAATTATATAGGGTGATACATTTGAAAAAATTGGTGACATGCTATGCGAATGCGATAGAAGTAACATCAAATGTGAATAAATGTCAAAATGAGTCCTTCTGTATATTATGGTAGACGTGTTTCTTTTTCTGCAAATCATTGTACCAAAAGTTATTCAGGAATTAAATGGAATGAACTGTATAATAGTTTCTTAAGGCTAACGGTATTGTTGTCGATGATTAAAGATAGAGTTCCAATATACAGTGTCACACATAAAGTCCGCATCAAATGGGATTTTTTTTTGTTCATCTCTCCAAGCAACTTTTGATATCTCCATTAGGTTGTGCTTTAAAAATGATGCCAAATGACATGCATATGACCGATCAAGTGATTTTTCTTTCCTGTCCAATTTGACATTTTTTCCAAAAAATATTCAGAAAAGCAGTTATTGCTCGAAATTTCGAAAATCGTTTAGGAGAAAAGATGATTGTTTTTTTTATTTTTCACCCATATACCAATTTTTAGCTCTCTAGTACAAATTTAGTTTTTTTACATTTTTTCGAAAATTTGACATTTGCCGATTTCCCAAATTTGACCAAACCTCAACAAAGTTAGTGCTTTATGCCTAACTTATCTTTCCAACGCATTTTTATTACCAATTGCAATTCTAAATACAACTTATTTCGCAAAGCCTTCTAGACATACTGAAGAAGTGAAATTTGAAATATGTTTGGATGTCGTAGAACGTAAAAAAACAAGTATTCAAGATATTGCAGATAGAACAGATGTTAACCAAGAAATTGTACGACGTATTTTACACGAAAATAAATTTACGCCTTATAAACCGAAATTTATCAATACATTAAAGGAAAGGGACTTCGATATGCGCTTGTATTTTTCTTTTTGGTTTCAAGGGGAAAAAGAAGAAAATTATCATTTTCCTTATCAAATTTTATGGACAGATGGAGCGACCTTCTCCTCAAATAACGTTGTGAGCTCGCAAAACTGCAGGTGGTGGGCAAAAGAAAACCCACATTTCGTAATCGAATGTCGAGATCAATATTCGTTTAAGACGAATGTATGGTGTGACATATTAAACGATCAAATTATAGGACCATACTTTTTTAGACATAATTTAAATTCTGCGGACTACCTACACTTTGTGAATACCGAAGTATCTGAAGTTTTGGATAATATGCCCCTTCAAGTAAGAAATGTTGTGTGGTATCAGTGTGATGGTTCACCTATTCATAGTACAAGGGTGGTTAAAGAGCGTCTTTTGGAAATATTTAGGGGCAAAGTAATCAGTCGCAATATGGAACACTTTTGGCCGCCTAGATCTCCTGATGTAACCCCACTAGATTTCTTCTTGTGGGGTTACTTAAAACAAAAGGTGTATAAGCAAAGACCTTTTCGAGATATAAACCATTTAGAGGCAGTTATTCGAGAATGTGTTGTAAGCACGAAACCCCGTAGTATAAAGAATGCAATTAAAGATGTTTTAAAAAGGATAATTGATTGCATTGAACGTGGTGGAAGGCACACCGAAATGTGACTTTTTATTTTGTATTTCTATTGGTATTTACATGGTTTAGGCATATGTTTCGATTTGATTTAGTGTTCTTAATTTAAATTATAACTTAATTTCAACAGATGTTTGTTAGAATTTTTTACGGTTCAGTTTTCTAGGCAACAAAATCTAAATTGATTTCTGAGGTAATTTGGTTCATTCATACCTCATAAAAGATATTTAGTAAATGTGAAATTACTTTCGTATAATTCCTTCCCTTAGTTTAATTGCGTTGTAATTTTTCGTAATTAGTAAATCAAAGTTTAACTGTTTGAAAAGTGCAGTAAAGAATAAATTATTTACTTTTCATTGATATTATTTTTTAATTATGCCTATGTATCAAGCTATTTCGCAAAAAGTAGAAATGAAGTGAAATGTTTATCTGTTTTTAAAAACTGTATCAACTTTGCATCATTTTTGGCATAATTTTATCTGGTGTTTTAAATTTTTGCGAAATAAGTTGTATTTAGAATTGCAATTGGTAATAAAAATGCGTTGGAAAGATAAGTTAGGCATGAAGCACTAACTTTGTTGAGGTTTGGCTAAATTTGAGAAATCGGCAAATGTCAAATTTTCGGAAAACTGTAAAAACACTAAATTTGTACTAGAGAGCTAAAAATTGGTATATGGGTGAAAAATGAAAAAACAATCATCTTTTCTCTTTACCGATTTTCGAAATTTCGAGCAATAACTGCTTTTCTGAACATTTTTTGGAAAAAATATCAAATTTGACAGGGAAGAAAAATCACTTGATCGGTCATATGCATGTCATTTGGCATCATTTTTAAAGCACAACCTAATGGAGATTTCAAAAGTTGCTTGAAGAGATGAACAAAAAAAAATCCCATTTGATGCGGACTTTATGTGTGACACTGTATATTCTAAAAGTATTTCTATTATTTTGCAGATTTCTGAATACGCTTTCGCCGGTCTAGAAGATTCCTTATCAGAATTGGACATGGCAGAAAACAAACTTCAGACTTTTCCAATCAAATCGCTGCGAAGACTCGAGAGATTGCGACATTTACGACTAGCCTGGAACGAAATCCGCGCCATAGACGATGACACCTACTCCAGACTACCGTCACTTTTCTACTTAGATCTGAGTTTCAATAATTTTGAAAACCTTGAAGAACATTCCTTCAGAGTCAGTCCCGCCATCCGCACCCTGTCCTTGTACTATAACGTCATCGAAAATATCCACCGTGACAGTTTCGCCATGTTGTTTGAATTGCAGTCGTTGGACTTGAGCCACAATAAAATTGTTTATTTGCACCCGTCGTCTTTTCAGAAAAACAAGAAAATTCGCTCTATCGACCTGAGCCATAACCACATCCACTACATCAGCGGGCTGTTCGTCCACTTACCGGATTTGAGGGAGTTGTTCCTCTCTGAGAACAATATTCTCGAGATTCCTTCAGATGCCTTCACGGAGTCAACGAATTTGTCAGTGATTTACCTCCAGCAAAACGCTATTCGAAGTATCGATACCGAAGCTTTGACTACTTTGATTAATTTATCACAGCTACATTTGAGTTCTAACTTCTTACCGCATATCCCCCATCGCTTGTTCCAACACAACTCTAATTTGACATCGCTCAGTCTCGACAGTAATTGGTTGTCGGAGTTGGAACCCACCACCTTCGACAAGTCCCTCAACTTACGTGAGATAAGACTCCACAACAACAAACTCCAATCCGTACACCGAGGAGTGTTTGAACCCCTGCCGTCGCTGCTGGAACTGCATTTACAAAACAATGAAATTGTCTCGATCGAATCTGGAGCATTCCGCACCCTGCAGAGTCTTCAACACGTGAATCTACAAGGGAATATAATCACGGAACTGGGCGATGTGTTCATGCACGACTCCCCTTCTCTTGTTTCAATACAACTGGACTCGAACCGTATAACTTCTCTCCACAACGACTCGCTAGTGGGCCAATCCAGTGTTCAAATAATATGGTTGGGGCACAACCGCATCAAGAGTATAGACCGTGCCATTTTCCGCGATCTAATGATGATACAAAGGGTTTATTTAACGAATAACAGCATTTCCCACATCGAGGAAAAGTCGTTCGAACCAATGCAAGCATTGAAGTTTCTAGATCTCAGTATGAATCGGTTGTCCCAAATAACTGTAACAAGTTTTGCCGAGCTGCACGAGCTAGAGGAGTTGTACTTGTCACGTAATTCACTGAGCAAAATTGAACCAAAAGCGATGACGAACCTCAAGAAACTGAGAATCCTCGACTTATCGCACAACCCTCTGGCGGTGCTTCATAACGATATCCTACAAGAGGGTTTACCTATAAGGACACTCAATCTTTTGAATTGTTCAATATCAACTATAGAACCGGGTACCTTCAGGAGACTCAATAATCTTAATGAGCTCAATTTGTCTGGCAACAAACTAACTTCTGCTGACTTGGAACATCTGGATATACCAGGATTGCGAGTGTTGAAGCTGTCTAATAATAATTTCAGTGATTTACACAGCTCCGTTCTCAACGATTTACCCTCACTGCAAATTATCTCCTTGAACGAGTGTGGAATACGAAAAGTTCCGGAGAATATATTTTTTGAGAACAAGAATTTATTGAAAATAGACTTGAGTGGTAATTATATCGAAGAACTAGGGTACAACATGTTTTTGAGTTTGAACGTTTTGAAGGAATTGAAGCTAAGTGGTAATTTGTTCAAAACCATTCCCTACACTGCCTTTCTCAACATATCTACTATGGAAACTTTATCCATCGCTTTTAATAGCGTGACTCACATTGACGTTGCTCGTCTGAATGGTCTACCGAATCTCAAGGAAATCGATTTCAGTAATAATATGATATCTTCTCTGACTGGATTTGCTTCGGCTAACTTGGTCCACTTGCTCGCCGTAGATTTAAGCAGTAACAGTTTAGCGGCACTGCCTGCTAATTTTTTTCACCATTCCACACTGCTGCGTAGAGTAGATCTATCGTATAATCGTTTCAAACAAATCCCGAATTCTGCGTTGGCAGAGAATACTCTCCCCGGACTGAGATGGTTGAATCTAACGGGGAATCCACTCGTGCGGATACACGATACAGCCGTAGCTCATAAATATCCCTCTTTGGAAGAAGTTCATATAAGCTCAACAAATTTAAGTATCGTAACCAGTAAGGACTTCGAAACATTCCCTGCTCTTCTCCACATACAACTCGGGCGAAATCGCATTTCCAGGGTGTCTCCGGGGGCGTTCGGCAATTTACCCCACTTGCAAACCCTCGACTTGGGAGTGAACGAGTTGGAACTGATGCCGCAAGAAAGATTGAAGGGCTTGACACACTTGCGACTGCTGAATCTCACTCACAACAAATTGAGAGAATTGGAAGAATTCTCGACCGACCTGAAATTACTTCAGATACTTGACATTTCATTTAATCAAATAGCTCGCATCAGCAAGACCACATTCCTACATCTGGAGAACTTGGCAGAGCTGTACCTTTACGGGAATTGGATATCGGCGGTGTCTGGGGACGCCTTCAAGCCTTTGAAAAAACTCAGAACGCTCGACTTGAGTAAAAATTACTTGGAAAACATTCCTTTGAATGCCTTCCGGCCACTGGAAACGCAAATACGCGATCTCCGAACTGAAGGTAAGCAATTTGTTCAGATCAAAATATTTTCAAAACGGTTTTATTGAGAGAAAAGATAATAATGATGTAGATGATATACTAAAACTTAAAATATAATTCGGAAGGTCCTAGGTAGCAGTAATCACACCACTCTCCTCAGCAGTCTACGGTATTGAATAGAAAAAAAAATAATGAAATCTCTGGACGTAGCGTAACCTGGGTATACTGTGTGACATAGACTTATGATACACCCACTTTTTCTCCTTTATTTCTCTAGCGATATTTATGAACTTCGGAACATTGAATATGCTCACTAGACAGCACTTTTTTGAATATTTGTAAAACAAATTCAACTTCCGGCTTTTCCGGAAATGACAACAACTTTTGATTTTCAAATGGGACATCCTATACAGGGTGTTCCTTAAACACATGCAAATATTTAAGGAGGTAATTCTTAGACCCATTTCAAGGAAAAAACGTCCTATGGACGTATGTCCTAAACGCCTTAACTTTTGAGATACAGGGTGGCAAAGTTTTCAAAAATAATGAGTTTTTTAATAATAACTGAGATAATTTTGTTGACATCTTTGGCATATTTGTTACATATGTTCCATGCCTCAAGGCGCATTCCCTGATGTACAATTTTCTTAATTTTCTCTGCCAGTGGCGTACGTACGAGTTCTGAANTGCGTAATTCCATGCGTAGAAGGGCGGAAGCATGCATACTAAGTGCAGGTGGCCACTTCCAACAATTTTTATAATCAGTTTTGGTATTATTAATAATTAACAAATTTGTGCTATTCGTTTAGACCTATTGTCACAAAATAAAATAAAACTCGTTTTTATGTTTTATGTTTTCAAATATTAATGCGTTATGAAGCAATTTTCAGATTCTCATTCATTTCATAATTGATCTAATTTCTTAATTTGCTTTCTGTCGATTTTTATTTTTTTGAGTGAAAATCATGCATCAGACAGAGAAATACCAAAAGGTCAAATTTTCTCAAAAATGAATGAGGATTTTAAAAATGATTTCATTTTGAAAAGAAAGCATTGGCGTAGTACTTTTTCCCCAAAAATATACAATGCGAAACCCGTAGGGATGCCACTGTTTGAAAAAATACAAATTTGTGTACATCAGAAAATGCGCCTTGAGGCATGGAACATATGTACCAAATATGCCAAAGATGTCTACAAAATTATCTCAGTTATTATTAAAAAACTGATTATTTTTGAAAACTTTGCCACCCTGTATCTCAAAAGTTTAGGCGTTTAGGACATACGTCCATAAGACGTTTTTTCCTTGAAATGAGTCTAAGAATTACCTCCTTAAATATTAGCATGTGTTTAAGGAACACCCTGTATATTATCGCAAAAACGGTTAGGGAAGATTATGAGGAATCCAACGATTTCAAGTGTGATGGTGTTATCTCTAATGACTACGGAGATTTCGCCATTTATTTTATACAAAAGCTCAATGAGTAGGACAGAGAAACTTTTTTTGGAGGGTCCATCCAACTATCTGTCTCACACTCATTGAGAGTATGGATAGAATATATGGCGATATCTCCGTAGTCATTAGAGATAACACCATCGAACCTGGTATCGTTGGATGCCTCATGATCTTCCCTAATCGTTCTTGTGATAATATATAGGATGTCCTATTTGAAAATCAAAAGTTGTTGTCATTTCCGGAAAAGCCGGAAGTTGAATTTGTTTTACAAATATTTCAAAAGGTGCCGTCTAGTGAGCATATTCAATGTTCCAAGTTTCAGGAATATCGCTAGAGAAATAAAGTAGAAAAAGTGGGTGTACCATAACTCTGTGTCACACGGTATACAAATACTACGCCTAACAAATTCATTATTTTTTCATCTGATCAATACCGTAGATTTGCTGAGGATAATGGTGTGATGACTGCAATCTAGAACCTTCCGAATTATTTCTTAGTTTTTAGTAAATTATCTACATAATTATTATCTTTTTTTTTTCTCAATAAAACTGTTCAACATTTTTTTTACTCATTTTAATTTCGAATTTTCAGTTCCTGGTTTTGTTACTCAATGCTTCATCATCTTGAATTCACTTCTTTTTCAAAGTGTAATACTACTGGTCAAGTTCTGTCACCATATTGAAGTATCTAGTTGCGAAAAAATATGTAGTACGTAATTTTGTAGCTGTGGCCATCTTTTTAGAGAATCGTCCAAGTCTGACAACAACTATGTAGAGGATTGTCTCATTTTGGACTCCCACAGCAGAGATATTGTTAATATTGATCATATTGGTATAGATGGTGATTTTTATATTTTTTTCAGATTTTTGCATGTCAACGTTCAAGGCTTCATAAACAATTCAAATCAAAGAAGTGATGGTTAATTATCACAATGTTGACATTTTGTGTTTGTCTGAGCACTGGATCACAAAAGACAATTTCAGTAAAGAATATTTCACTAACTATATAGTAAATTGATGGATGAAGCCGTTACTACGTGGTAGGAAATCATAATGAAGAAAAGAGAAAACATAGAAAGTTTCATTGAACGAGAAACATATGTTCAGAAAATTGAGTCAGTCATTCGAGATGAGAACCTTACTGTCATCAAGAAAGACCCAACGAAAAATAGTCAAAATGAACTGAAAAATTTCCTCTCAGATACTAAAATCATTTTTACGGAATCAGAGAAACGGAGAATCACCAACATGAACCCCTCTTGCCCTAAACTGTATGGCCTGATGAAAACACATAAAGAGGATAACCCCATAAGACCGGTAGTTTCCTATATAAATAGCCCGGTAAGAGAACTAGGAATACGTCTTAACAAGTTGTTCAAAAATATTACCAATTTCGTCCCACCTCACAACATTAAAAATTTACTGACTTTAGTAAGAAACATAAGGAACCAAACCACGCCACATAATTCAATTTTAGTTTCATTCGATGTAAAGAGTATGTTCTCCAACATACCGTTCAACGAGTGTGAGTCCCTCATTTTAGAAATATTAGATCAAGCCAAAGTGGACTATATCACTTCCTTTGAAGTTTCAACAGCTTTCAATGTGTGCCTGAATCAGAGCTACCTACAGTTCAACAACAAATTCCATAAACAGGATTCAGGTTTACCAATGGGCTCACCCCTCAGTCCACTTTTAGCAGACATATTTATAAACAACTTGGAGACCACTATAGTAAACTCCGACCTGGGTGAAAAACATATTTATTTTTGGTACAGATATGTAGACGATATTCTTGCCTGTTTCAGAGGTACTACACGATAGCTGAACCAATTCATGACAATCATGATCAATATCAATAGCAACATTCAGTTCACACTCGAAACAGAGATAGAGAAACAGATACATTTCTTAGACCTGGTCATTACACACAATCAGAATAAATTCGAGTTTAATGTTTTCAGAAAACCTAGCTATACAGACATCACCATCCCAAACGATTCTTTCCATCCAGACAGTCATAAATTAGCAGCCTACAATTCAATATTGCACAGAGCATTCTCACTGCCTTTGTCTGCAGACAATCTAGCTGGGGAAATTGATACAATTACACAGATAGGTCATAATGATGGTTTCAACGCAGATACTATCCAGAAGTTAGTCAGGAAACAAAGCCGGAAATTCACTCACAGATCAATATATCCTCAGGTCAAACAACCAGATATCAAGAAATGGGTAACGCTAACATATTTTGGAAAAAGAATAGAAATAATCGCAGGTTTCTTCAGAAAAAACAATGTGGAAATAGCATTCAGGCCACATGCCAGGTTATCTCATTTTCTTTTCAATGCCAAAGATAAGGTCGACAAGTTGGAAAAATCTGGAGTTTATAAGCTTAAGTGTCCGGAATGTAATAGTGTTTAGATAGATAGATAGATAGATAGATCTTTATTTAAAAATAGATAACCCTAATATACATATATATATATCCCAATTAAATCAACGTTGTATATATACAACATTAGACAAACACAAAAAAAGAAATACAATGCAACAATAATATACGAAAATCACAATTTTAAAAATCTGTTTTAAAATCTGTTTTTCCGTTAATCAGCTGCCACCCCCATACTTACGACAACTCTCAGAAGTTGAGAAACTTGTGCGAGCTAAGGACTAACGAGGTCTTACCTTTTAACGTGTGATTCCTAACACAGTTAGGTTAGGTTAGGTATTATATCTATTTCATCTTAATAAGTTCTTTCAATTGTTTTTTAAACAAATTCAACGATTATGATGTTTTAATGAAGTCTGGTAGTTTATTAAATTCTTGGAAACCTTTGAAAAATAAAGAGTTCATAGTACTGCGATAAGCAGTGCTGCTAATGTGAATGTCATTTTCACCCCGAGTGTTATAAGTGTGAATGTCTCTATTCAATTATCATAAATGTATGAAAGTAAACAGGAGCCAGGTTATTCAATATTTTATATACAAAAATCATTGTGAAATAATACATTCTTTTTTCGACTGAGAACCAATTAAGCGTTGCTAACATAGATCTTATGGGGGTGAGACGATTAGTTCTCAGAATTATTCTCATGCCACGATTTTGAAGTTTTTGTAGCATATTCAGCTTAGTAAGATCAAACAAAAACAGGGCTGATGAGCAATGATCAAAATGCGGCTGAATAATTGAATTATATACCGTGATTTTTGTTTCGGTTGATAATTCCTGGGCTATACGAGAGAAAAAATAAAGTTTTTCTGAAATGTTTTTATGAATATAATTGAAATGGGTATTGAAGTTCAGAAAGTTATCCAACTGGAAGCCCAAATACTTGATATTAGATACAATTTCAATTTGTTCATTATTGATGTTTAGGTTAAGGCTATTAATATTAATGGTATCATATCTGTATTTACTTGTGAATATCATAGCCTGACTTTTAGACACATTCAATTTCAATTTATTCAAACTCAAATACTTGCTAATTGATTGTAAAACATTATTCATTTTTTGAATAGCCGTATCTAGGCAGACGTCACTACAAGCAATTAAGGTATCATCAGCAAAGAGGTTAATGAATTCGCATTCCACAAAGAGGTTAATATCATTAATGTATAATAAAAACAATAATGGACCCAAAACACTTCCCTGTGGAATGCCAACATCATTATCTAACTCAGACGAAACTTCAGACTTGAAACGTACCCTTTGGCTACGTTGCTGGAGGTAGTTATTTAGCCATTGGTATACCTTGCCCCTCATCCCATATTGCTTGAGTTTAACCAACAATATTTTACGATCAATGGTTTCGAATGCTCTCTTCAGATCAAGGAACACAGTAATTACATATTTCTTATTATCCAATTGAGTTTTTATATGGCATAAAGTTAATTGTAACGCGGACTCGCATGAAAACTGTTTTCGAAATCCTGACTGATTATTCATTAAAATACAATTTGACTCAACATGATTTATGTAAGACAATGCGGACTAAATTTCCAAAAACGGTATGCTGAACATGAAAGGTCCTTCAGACTATGAAAAAATGATTTGACGTTTTCAAACCATTCGTTGGCAACCACAAGTTTCCGAATCTAAACGATACGGAAATTCTGCACTATGCAAGGAAGGGTTGCAAACCCAATTATTCAGGATCCTTGGAAATTTACAAGCATGAAAATTGCGGGCGCAACCTGTTAAATAATCAAATCGATTTAATTTACTCTCCGGTTTTTAAATTGGCACATCCGCATTATGAACTGTAAATTCAGGTACTCAATCAAGTACCTGAATGGTATATATTGGCGAATGTAATGAATCATTGTTAGTTTTGTTGTATTAGTTTGAGAATGTCCATATATGACGAAACTGCAGTAACGTTGATTACAATTATAAGTGGTAAAAAACATAGACATTTTCATTTCTCTTTTCATTATTATTATTATTATCCTCCTAGTCAATCCCTGTCATTTGATTCGCATATCGAGGTGGTTGTGTAACAATATGTAATCCGCCATTTTATAGCTGCGGTTATTTTTAATTCAGAATGATTCAGAATTTATTAAATTGTATTGTCTTCAAAACTAAATTTAGTTACCAAATTTCAGATCAATATGTCATCAGGAAGTTCAATTGCTAAATTTTACCCACACAAATAAACAGGACGAGCTGAATAAAACCCTTTGTTTATTTGAAATCAATAAAACCAACTATCCAACGACATAATTTCCTGAAAGTCATCATTTCTCCTTCCAGAAAACCCACTATCCTGCAGCTGCGATTCGCAGGAATTATGGGAATGGCTACGTGATCATCAGAAACTGGTTGAAAGGGCCAACACTGTTGAGTTACGTTGCGAACACCCTCCCGAACTTAGGGGTAGAGTGTTTCTCGATCTCGATCCCGAACAATTTTGTGATGAACCGATGGTCATTAAACTTGGAATTCAAGATATACAGCCCTTCTCAGTGCTTGTGTCGTGGCAGAGTAGAAACCACTCAGGATTGAATGGATACCAAGTAGCATATTATTCGATGGACAGAGTGGATGAAATGGAGGTGAGTTTTTGCGTCAGAAACGTTACACAATAGTTGTTTTATCGACCTTTTTTGGGTAATTGGTACCTTCCACAATTTATAACAAAATATAAAAATTATAATGGAGAACTTTATACAAGGGTAGAAGGGCAAACTTTTAAGTTTACCCCGATAAGTTACTGCGTAAAAAATCAAAGTATTTTCCACAAAGAAAAATCTTCTATTTATCAGTAACTTGTCGTATTTAACAATTTTTCCTATCAAAAAAATTATTAAGAAATAACACTTTTACGTTTCGGAGGCCAAAATCTGCCTCCGTCTTCAGAAATGGATAAAAAATAAAAATTCGAATATATACGCAGTTATCCCTTTTTGATAGCTTATTTCTTTACTTCTTCGACAGATGTCATTGAAGTTTTGAAATATGAAATTATGTCAATGTTGTTGATTGACAACTGAAACATTCGATGTAATACAAGGTACTCTCCGATATCAGTTTGTTGCCATTTCGCCACTATCCAAAGTTTTCTTCAAGATGGGTAGCCAAGTACGGTCTATTTCTAAGGAGCTATTCGAGATACAGTTCTCTCCAGACATGAGAATATACGCTGATTCTTTTAGCTTACGTCTCTTAGAATGAGCCTCATTGGTAATCTTTCTTGTCCTATTCCATTCCACCCGATGTTCACCGTCTGATTTTAAAATGTGTTCTGATAATTTTTATCCTGTCAATTGTCTATTTTTTATATAATCTCGATGTTCATTCTCACGCACTTTCAATGGTCTTGAGGTTTCACCAATGTAACTTTTACCACAAGAACAAGGTATTTTATAAATACAATTTTTTGTTTTTTCTTCAGTGTTGTTGGGTTTTGTATGTGTGAGTATAGATCTCAGTGTATTTTTTGTTTTGAAAGTAGTTCTAACATCATATCTATTTCCAATTCGTCTTATTTTTTCAGATAGTTTTGGAATGTAAGGTATAACGTTAGTTGTAAAAGGTGTCGTTGACAGGATCAAAATTATCAGAACACATTTTAAAATCAGACGGTGAACATCCAGTGGAATGGAATAGGACAAGAAAGATTACCAATGAGCCTCATTCTAAGAGACGTAAGCTAAAAGAATCAGCGTATATTCTCTATCTGGAGAGAATTGTATCTCTAATAGCTCCTTAGAAATAGACCGTACTTGGCTACCCATCTTGAAGAAAACTTTGGATAGTGGCGAAATGACAGTTGTCAATCAACAACATTGACAAAATTTCATATTTCAAAACTTCATTGACATCTGTCGAAGAAGTAAAGAAATAAGCTATCAAAAAAGGAATTACTGCGTATATATTCGAAATTTTTTATCCATTTCTGAAGACGGAGGCAGATTTTGGCCTCCGAAACGTAAAAGAGAAGTGTTAGTTCTTAATAATTTTTTTGATAGGCAAACTTGTTGAATACGACAAATTACTGATAAATAGAAGATTTTTCTTTGTGAAAAATACTTTGATTTTTACGCAGTAACTTATCAGGATAAACTAGAAAGTTTGCCCTTCTACACTTGTATAAAGTTCTCCATTATAATTTTTATATTTTTTTCAGATTGTGGAAGGTAACAATTACCCAAAAAAGGTCGATAAAAAAACTAATTTTTTCTCCACAAAAAATTATTTTCGTTGAATACAATAGTTGTATTGTTAATAATGCCAAACTACGAGTATATCTACTGCAACTGGTTCGAATAATTAGTCTAAGTTCCGAACCTAAATTGACCTTCACCGAGCTGATAATAAAATGAAATATATTTTATAATGAATTTAGTATATTAGAAAATATGTTGAAAATGGGTTCGCTAAAAAATCCTGGGCATACTATTTTTAATTATTTTTTGAAAAATGATTTTCAATTGAATTTTGCAACATCAAGATAATAAGAAAATGTTTGTCCTTACTTAAAGTAAGAAACGTATAGAATGTGCAGCCGCTGGGTTGTCTATTATTTACTTTCTTTCTTTTCGTGAAAATAAAATCTCAAACATCAACATTAAATATAAAAAATTACTTCTAGGGGGATGTCGATACTTCTATAGCTGATGAAGGTACAGAATGCCTAGATTCTAGTGCCCATTCTAGTAAAGCAGTTACTGAGGGTAATAAAAGTCATGCTGACGTCACATTCCACACTTCTACGGATTTGGATGATTTTTTTTATTATTCACGTTATCATATTTTGAGATTACAAAGACTTGTCTATTATAGATACAGTGTGACCCATTTTTAATGGAAACACCCCCCTAAAATTTGAAGTTGTAAACCGATTTTAATATATTTTCATTTTAAATGTCAAGTCTGGAAGGTCTACCTTGGGACAAAATTTGAAATGTTTATTGAAGTTTCAGGGCATACTACGATATTTTCTCTTAGTCGAAAATCTGGATTTTTATTAGCGATATTTTTACTGAAAAAATCACTACGCCACTGGATTCAGAATGCCTCTAAACAGGTGTGACCGAAATTTCATGACAAAATATTCATTAATAACAAAGTTATGACAACTCAAAACTTCGAAAACTCACACAGCTAACAGTCACACAAAAAAACACCCTATATCAACAGATATAGCCATGAGAATATTTTTTCATGATTTCAACAATAAAGTGCCGCCAGATAAAAAAGAAAACAAATTGTGTAAATATTTTTAATGAGAATAACGGAATTACATTCAAGTTTTCACGCAAATTAACTAAAACTAAGACCTAATATTTCAATTTAAATCTTAGTTGTAATGGAAATGATATTACAGTTTAACACTTGTGAAAGATTCAAGTGTACTATTGTCAACAATATTTACCTTACAGTTCTTCGAATTATTTTGTGTCATGGCTGCAAGATTGAGCCTAAAAGAGAAAATTGAAATTGTACGCCTTTCGGGAGATGACGTTAGAAGTGCTAAAGAGGTTTGTAGAGTATTTATTGAGAGACATCCAGACCGTCCTCGTATTAGCTGCGGTACGGTAAATAAAATAAATGAAATATTCAATGACACTGCTGCAGTATCAAAAATGATGTTAAAAAGTATTCTTGTACAAAGACGAAACAGGAATGATCAAATCATTTTAGATTATTTCGGAAATAATCCTAATGCCAGTATAAGGAATGCCACTTTAGATTTGAATATTCCACGAGAAACTATTCGGAGATGTCTCAAGGCGCAGAATATTAAACCTTTCAAGCCAAAATTTTTACACGCACTTCAAGAAGGCGACAAAGCAAGACGCCTGGAATATCGTTTATGGGCCCAAGGGGAATATTTAAACAATAGAAATTTCCTAAAAAATATTTTGTATACCGACGAAGCCACTTTCACTACAAATGGAGTAGTGTCAACACAGAATTGTCGCTATTGGGCAGCGGATAATCCTAACTGGGTAATAAACTGTAAAAGCCAGTATTCCCAAAAAATCAACGTCTGGTGTGGGATATTGAACGAACCTGTTTAGAGGCACTCTGAATCCGATTTTCGACTAAGAAAAAATATCGTGGTATGCCCTGAAACTTTAACAAACATTTCAAATTTTGTCCCAAGGTAGACCTCTTAGTACTTGACATTTAAAAAAAATTAATAAAATCGATTCACAACTTCAAATTTTGGGGGGGGGGTTTCCAATAAAAATGGGACACACTGTATATACGATCGACAATATTCTTAGAAAATTCACGGGAGAATAATCAATTTATAGACATTCTATGCACATTCTTCCGGGAATAACCCTACCATTTTCATTCAAGCATATTCTATGAATATCTGGTGTTGTGGGATGTTTTTCGAAATTTTTATTGTATAACATACTGTATCAGAAAGTTTTCAAGCGTTTAGTTCATCTACGAACATTTATAGATTTTTTTTCAAAGTTATCTTTGACAATGCTTTTACACACCTCATCGATGATTGATGAATCTATCCTCTTCGTTTCAGGTCCTTGGTAGGAAGTTGGACCGCTCATCAAGATCGATGAAACTCTCCAAACTTTATCCAGACACTAGATATGTGATATGCGTCCTAGCACTCGGAAACTGGGCATTTCCTCCAAGAGAAATAGCCGAATCACGACTGGGAATTCGTGAACTCGACAACGATACGACACGGAACGATCTCGAAATCTTCAGTGATTCTATACGGCCTCTTCTTGTGGACTCGTCCACCAGCAAGTGTGCTGAAGTTAGTACTTTGGCTGCACCCGGCAGCATGCACATAGGTCTGGGAATGCTTCCCGATCACGCTTTTGGAGTACAATCCATCCTAACTAGACGATTGGGACTCATAATTGGATGCTGCATGGGATTTGTAGTATTCATAGTGTTGGTTTCTGTGTTGGGGTACCTCAAAGTGAAGAAACAAAGGAGGGCGATAAAAAGAGACCAACCGATACCTTCTGAGTATCTCTCTTACAGACATTTCTCGATACAGAGTGGGGGAACTGGGGCACATCCAAATTTCATTACGAATATAAACACTACTGCTCTTAATTAACGTTTTTTTATGAAAAGTTCATCAGTGTTCAGTCACGTTCTCGTTGTCTATTTCAATTTAAATGAATGAGCGGCTGAGAATTCACCATCACGCGTTTCGTGATTTCATTTCGTGATTCGTCATTTCATTTCATATCATTCATTATTCAAGGGATCCTCAGAATAATGTGAAGTACAGAGGATTTCAAATAGAAATAGCATTATGAATCCTGTATTTTGAAATGATGATTTTCATTAGTTCAACGTGACAATTATATGATCAGAATAATATTCTTCCTTGTTTTTTTTATTTGATCTTCATAAACTTCATTTGAAGAACATATCACATGTTTCGCTAGCACAGTAGGTTTGTCAAGTGATATGAATACTTCAAGTTATATCCAACTAAAAACATCGAATAGAAACCAGGCAGCGCAAGATGGCATAAAAACGAGAAAAATGAAATGGATGAAAAAATTGCAAGAGGGACAACGCAAATACAGGGTGTTCCTTAAACACATGCTGATATTTAAGGAGGTAATTCTTAGACCCATTTTAAGAAAAAAACTTCCTATGGACGTATCTCCTAAACGCCTTAACTTTTGAGATACAGGGTGGCAAAGTTTTCAAAAATAATCAGTTTTTCAATAATAACTGACATAATTTTGTAGACATCTTTGGCATATTTGGTACATATGTTCCATGCCTCAAGGCGCATTTTCTGATGTACACAAATTTGTATTTTTTCAAATAGTGGCATCCCTACGGGTTTCGCATTGAATATTTTTGGGGAAAAAGTACTACGCCAATGCTTTCTTTTCAAAATAAAATCATTTTTAAAATCCTCATTTATTTTTGAGAAAAT